TCAATATACTGATCTTTGATCCTACCTTTACAACTTAATGCTCAGCATGTGAAATTTATACATAAACAGAAATACAAACTACAAATTATTATTATTATCACTATTATTATTTGGTACCAGGAATTGAACTCAGGATCTTGAGCTTGCCAGGCAGCCACTTGCAAACCACAAATTATTGAGATTTGTAACTCCACTTCTGACTCTTTTTCCTTTTTTATTGGTATGTTTGCAATACCTAATGAACACATTCATTGTGGGGAGTTAGAACACATACATATCACATCTTAACCCCTTTTATTTCCTTTCTCCTCCCCACCTCCCTTCCTCTTTTACTCACTCTTTCTTTCTTTCTTTCTTTCTTTCTTTTTTTTTTTTTTGAGATGGGGTTCTGATTTGTAGTTCAGGCTTGACTTGAACTGACTAAAAAGCCTAAACTGGCTTCAAACTCCTGGCACTCCTCCACTGTCAGCCTTTGGAGCGCTGCATTACAGACATCAATGCCACACCCAGCTCCCTCTCCTCTTCTTAATTTCTTGTTCCTTTGAGGAATTTACTCCAGTGGGGCAAATTGGTGCACATCTGTAATCCCAGCACATTGGAGGCTAAGGCAGGCAGATCACTGAGAGCTGGAGGTCAGCCTAAGCTACACAAAGAGACCAAGGCAAGTCTGAACTACATTATGGAGACTTTGTCTCAAAAAAGAGGAATTTAATAGACTTACGTGATTTTTTTTGTTTTTCAGTGATGGGGTCTATGTTCCTCAAGGTTGGCCTCTATTCTTGATTCTCTGCCTCAGCCTCCTGAATAGCTACTAAGATAGGTGTAAGCTGCCAGATATGGCTTACATAAAAAGCACTTTTAAAAATAAAATCTATGGCTGGGCAAGGTGGAACATGTCTGTAATCCCAGCGCTCAGGAGGATGAGGCAGGAGAATCACTGTGAGTTCCAAGGCCAGAATGAGCTACACAGTTAAGTGTAAGGCCAGCCTAGACTACACAGCAAGACCCTGTCTCAAAAACAATTAAATTTTCGTATTTTTTTTAAAAGGCCAGGTGTGATGGCACAAATCTGTAACTCCAACACTCAGAAAGTTGAGGCAGGAGGACTGTCACAAATCAGGCCAGCTTGGGCTAAACAGTGAGTTCAAGACCAACCTAAACTATACAGTGAGTCCCTGTGCCCTCTCCCCAAAATCTAAGATAATCAATTAAAAATAACAGATTTGGAATCTTTACTATGATAGCTCACACATGTTATTTTAGAAAAGAAACTAGGTCACGGAAAAATATGTAGGACAATTAAAATCTATACTTTGAAATATTCTATGACATGATATAGGAAATATTCATCACAGAATGCTGAATGGGAAAAAAACAAATTAAAATAACCTATATAATATGATCCGAATTAATCCGATTCAAAATTTCATGAATTTTCTACAAGATACATGTCTAGAAATACTCATAATACTGTTTTGTGTTTTGAATTAAATAGAATAAACATCAAACACACAGAGAAAAAGAAAAATAAGGAAGCACTAAGAGGCATAATGCCACAGCTAACTGGAAATAGGGTCAAGACAAAAACCTATGTTCCATGGCACTCAATCTAGAGACTTTCCACCATTTAAAGTCCAATTTATTAATTTTTATCTTACCATTCTCTCCGCAAATCTACTCACACAATGACCTTAAATGATATGAACAAATGGCATTTCAAAATACTATTATCCCACACTTAAGAACTGATACATCATGACAATCTCCCACTCTCAAAATAACAAGCGCATTATTTTGCCACATTCATCTTTGGAATCCTACCACAAAAGACAGTATCTGACACAGAGTAGGTTCTCAAATGATATCTGATAAACCATAGCTCCTCGCCTCCTAGCACTAGATACCAGAAATATTAAACCAAAGAAGCTAGTTGTGGTGGTACAGGCCTGTAATCTCAGCCTTTGGGAGGCAGAGGCAGGAAGATCACAAATTATGACAGCCTGGGCTATACAGCCAGCCCATGTCTCAAAAAGAAAAACACAGGCCAACAGAAGCAGTGAGATATTATTTTACATTGGAGTCTCCTGCTATTTAACACAGAGACTTTCCTAAACAAATTAGTGTTTACAACATAATATAAGTAAAATATTACATGTATGTTAAAATATTTGAAGCACTGTCAATTGGTGCATAAATTACAGTACTTCTCTACATAACATACTTTATACCTTTATTCAGCATTATTTTGTGACCCCAGTTACTAGTTAGAATTATTAAATAGAAAGCAAAATGTTACAGGTATAATTAATACAAAGGACACTAAACTAGAAGAACCTGGACCCTAGTTCTCACTCTGCTAATAACCAGATACATAACTTTGGACAATTGTTTGGTGAAATACGGGGATTGATCCCAGAGCCCCTGCACCACTGAGCTATATTCCCCAGCTTTTTCTTTTGTGGGATACAGGGTCTGATGAAGTCCCTCAATAGCCCAGCCTTTGCTAGAACTTTCCATCCTGTTGCCTCAGCCTTCTAGAGTGCTGGGACTATAGGCATACACCACCATGCCTGACATTTTTCACATTTAATTCTTAATCTATTTGGAAAAATAAGAGAAATGAACTTGTAATTACTCAGGATCTTTCCAGTCCTTTTATTGTTTTATTTTCAGTTATAAGGATCAAACCCAGGGCTTTCTGCATACAAGGTAACTACTGAACTACATCTACAGCCCCTTAACTTTATTTAAAAAAATCTTATTCACAAAGATTCTATAATTCAGATTTCTTGCACTATGTCAAACTTGATATTCTGAATGGTTTGAATAGCTTGCTACATTACTTGATAATCAAGAAACTCAGCATATTTTCTAAACATGGAAGTCCAATATTTTTGCCACTTTATAACAAAGAACAAGAGAAAACCAAAGGAGAAACATAAACATACAATAATCAAACCTGCTTTGTCAGCCAAGCTGACACAAACCAACTAGATTTTACAGTGCAAATCAGTTACAGCATATATATGTAAAAAATCTGTCCATACCAGTGGTATTTACTTATGTTGATAAACGTATGAACTTTAAAACTTGTTTTTAATTATAAAATCAGTATTTATGGTAAGAAATTCAAACACGTTAGGTTGCATGTTAAGTATAAAGTAAAAAGTCTCCCATCAGTGTTCTCCATAAGTAACCACTGCTAACATTTTTTCTTTTGTGTCTTTCAAGAAATCATTTGAGGAAATAAAGTATACATGTGTATGTGTCTGCGCATGTAAATTTTCTCAACCTAAACTGTTTTCACTTAAATGGTGGGGGGAAATCTCAAGCATTGGCTTTACATGCATGTTAAATACATGGAAAATGGAAAAAAATCACTGACACAAGGTAGTATACATTTCACAAATGTTGAATTGCATATTTAATTTTCATGCATGGAGATTACGCCAAGCAACTGTGTAGCAGTAGTGGCCAAAGAGCCAGGCAACCTCGGTTCTAATCTACTCTGGTCGCCCTAGGCAAGCCATGAAATCCTGAGCCCTGGTTTCTGCTTTGTAAAACAAAAGGGTTGGGCTAAGATCCTTTCCTACTCTAAAATGTTATAATTCAAAGATGGCCGTCTCTAACGGTGTTCTCTTGAACTGGCTGTAAAAAATGGTATTAAATGAAAAATAGTACAAACACTATTGCAAACTCCAGTCCTGAAAAGGGTAAATCTATGAGTAAATAACTATCCAGGTTCAACTGTAAGGGCACTAGTGACATAATATTTGAAGGCAAAGTAATAGATACTTAAGGACAGATAGGTTTTTACAATGCTTTGACAGACATTTTTGGGGTTCTGGAGTTGGAAGATGTAGAGGGGCTCTTGCTCAGTTACAGCAGTAACCAATCCTCATGTTCCAAAAACAAATTCAGGTTAACTATGTAGTTGAAATAATGAAACTGAAAGTCGAGTGGACATTTCCTCTTAGGGAACACGCTGGGTGGATGGGTGGGGGAGCGCTGACTACAGTAGCAAAGGTTGGAAAGAATTACTAATTTCCTCTTCCGGAAGATCTTTAGCCCAGATTCTTTCGGTTTCACGTGCCCAGGTCAGATGCATTCCACCGTGCTCCATATATGCCAAAGGCATCAGATAGTGCTGAGGCCTAGGGGTCCCTTTGCTCATTTAAACAAAAAAAGTTTTTGACTCGATTTACCTTAGGTGACACTGGGTTCGGGGAGGCAGACCTGAGGGCCGGAAGCCACCCGCCCACCCACACCTTCCTTTGACAGTCCCCGGAACCTGGGCACTGAGCCCGGGTCGGGTTATCTACCCCCCTTCACCGCCCGCCCCGCGAGCTCGGCCTGCACGCCCTCCCAAGCAGGGCGGGAAGGGTTCGGAAGGGTACGGGAGGGAAGGGGAGGGGGTGCTGAAGGAGAGGAGAGGAGAGGAGAGGGGAGGGGAGGGGAGGGGAGGGAGAGGGCGGGGAGAGGGCGGAGTCTCCTGCACAAGAAGGAGAGGCGATTATCATTTCTGTAGAATAAAGGCGCCTTTCCGGATGAGTGGCACCCCACCAGTCCTTTGGAGAAGTGGGGATCCAGCCAGAAGGGAGGAGTCTGAGGCACAGGGGCGGGGCAAAGGCTTGCTGCTCTGACCCTGACCTTCCGGGGGCAGCTGTGCGCCCTTTCGCAGGTGAGCTCTATTCCTCGGGCTCTGCCGCCAACAGATTACGTAGGGAGCGGCCGCGCCTTTCGGAAAGAATCAGATCTTGAATGCTGGGCGAGGCGTTCAAATATTCCC